ATAACATAAGAAAACAAAATAAAGAATCTTTCACAAATAACAGGTGGGTTTCATGATTTCAGTATGCAAAAATTTCTTAAACAAGGTATGTAAGGCACTAAATAGAAAAATGTCAACAAATCTGTATACATTAAAATGAAGAACTTTTGCTTACAAGAGACACCATTAAGAAAGTGAAAACTCAAGTTACGTAAATGTGAATGAACATTTGTAGTACGTATAACTTACAAAAATTTGCCCAAACATAAATGAAGACTCATATAGATTAATATTAAAATTTTTGGCACACCAATTTAAAATAGGCAAAAGATTTAAATTCTCAATAAAAGATCCACTGCCTAGTAAATATATTAAAGGCCATTGTAAATTAATGATAATCAAGGGAATGCAATTTGTATCAGGAGATAATGCTACCCACACTTCAGATTGGCTCAAATGAAGACACATGAAATACAAAAGTCTGAGTAGTATATATTGTAGTAAGAAAATCATGTTTTCTTTGTAACAGTATAAATTTCTATAAACTCTTTGGAAAACCATTGTCAATATTTAGTGTATGAGCCAGCACTCCCATGGATAGGTATCTCCCTTTCTCTCTCTCTCTCTCTCTCTCTCTCTCTCTCTCTCTCCATACACACACACACACACACACACACACACACAAACATGCTTACTAGGGTACAAAACAAGCATGTTTATAAGAACAGTGTTTATAGCAGTCAGAACTTGGAGTTGATCAAAATGTTCATCAGTAATACTAGTCATAAATAAATTGTGATCTATTCAAATAACAAGATACTATATGGCAATTAAGTAGTTTATATGGAACAAAAAATCCTAAAATTATGTTATTGGCATCATAAAATATTAGATGCAAAGGAACACCTAATGTCTTATTCCTTTTATGAAATATCAAAGAAATTGGCAGATTAGTACCACTTTTATTTTCATTTTGAAAGCCCTAACTAGGTGATAAAATTAAAAAATAAAAAATAAAGAAAGAGAAGAAAAAACAATAAAGGCAGTGGTTACCATAAAAGTTAAGATAGTGATGACTTTTGGAGTTTTGCATACATTGTTCTATATCCTGACTTAGTAGGGGAGGGGGCATGTTAGAGAAGAATATATTTATAGTATTTTATTAAACTCTACATGTGTATTTCATGCATTCTGTGTGTTTTATTTCATAACCCCAAATTAATGAAAATAAAGAAAACATGGAGCGTGCCATAGTCTGAAATATTCCCTTTCAAATAATTAACTGAAAAAGACTGCTTCCTTTTGCTGAAACTGCTTATCTTGTAGCATTGTCTTCCCTAATGACAAGAGATAAATGAGGCTTCTCTTTATTCCATTTTCAGATGTTCTATATATTCTTATAGACGTTGGGGAAAGAGGAAGCTTTTCATTCTTTCCTGGGTTTTATTTGAAAGTTAAGTTGCACATAAAGTAGCCAAGAGACATTTGCAAACTGATCTCAAAAGGTAGGTCATGATTCAGACCCTTGCTGCCTTGATGGCATCTCTTTAATTAACAAAGCAGAGGCTCTAATGGAGAGGCCTCCGAGTGCCACTGCAGTTAATGGTCTGTTAGCATTTCATTTTAAAGGCCTGGGGATAGAGGGCTTAACCCAGGAAAGGGGCCTTGGAAAACAAATTAGAAACCACCAAATGATTAGGTTCCTTAAAAATAGTTCTGTGTAAAGCAAAAAAACACAAGGAAAGCTAAAGGTCTTAATTTATGTTGTATGCACTTAAAAGTATGGTATTTTTCTTCCAATATTATGGTGTTATGAGAATTTCCTCTTTTTAATAGAGTCAGCTTTCAAAAATAAAAATCTTAAATAAATTTTCTTTTTATTTTTGCAGTACCAGCTTTGAACTCAGGCGTATTATACCACTGAGCTCCATCACTAGCCTTTTTTATTTTTTATTTATTTTTATTTTTTACTTCCTGATAGGGTCTTGCAAAGTTGCTGAGGCTGGCTTTGAACTTGTGATTCTCCTACCTCAGCCTCCTGTTAAAAATAAAATCTACTAAGTAAATGAGTTTCAGTAACATGTAGTCACTTTAATACATGACAATAAACTTCTTTGTATGAATGACATTTAATTCCTATCAAAGTTGCTTATAATATTTATAATACTTTAGCAGTACAGTTTATCTTTCCCTTGAAATTTTAGAAAATTATTTTAGTGGGTACAATAGAAACTAAAGACAAAAAGACATAATCCTAGTACGGAACATTTAACAGCAAAGTAACTTTCTTCTGGAGGGGAATCAGTCAAGAAAGAAGAAAGTCATTGACTCTCCCATTAAGGTACCTAAAAAGAGGAAATAAAAACCCACCAATAACCCAACAT